TGTCGGCTGTTTGTTGTACGAGGACAGCATTAAGCTCTGCTGCTGCTGCTGCTTTGAGCTGCGCAGCACTCTCCTGATGCGTCAGCAGCTGCAGCAGCTTCTGCTGCTGCTTATCGAGACAGCAGCAGAGCTGCTGTCTCCTTTGTTCTGCTGCTTCTACTTTTGTCTGCAGCACGGAGACATCTCGAAGTGTCTCCTTTTCCTGTCTCTCTAAATCTGCATGCGTTCGCTCCAGCAGAGACAGAGGCCACAGAGAATATCGTGCGCAACCACAGCTGCTGCTGCTGCTGCTGCTGCTGCTGCTGCTCTTGCTGTTGCTGCTTGTCCAGCTGCCTAGACTGTAATCAAAGCTGTGCAGAGACGTAGGCGATGCAGCAGCAGCAGCAGCAGGAGCAGCACCTGCTGCTGCTGCTGCTGCTGTGAAGGCCAGTGTATCTACCGACGGCTTGCGGAGACTGCATTTGACGTAGAGGTCCCGCAGAGAATCTGATAGAGCGAAGGGCCGCAGCGCAGCAGCAGCAGCTGCAGCAGCAGCAGCAGCAGGAGCAGCAGCAGCAGAAGAAGAAGCAGCAGCAGCAGATTGCTGCAGCAGCAGCTCATGGAGCCAACTGCCCTCCCACATGTACTGCCGTGTTAGCAGGCCCTTCATATCCAATGCAATCCACTCGCTGCTGCTGCTGCTGCTGCTGTTGCTGCTGCTGCTGCTGCTGCTGGGGGGAGGTATGAGGGGCAGCAGGCCTGCTGCTGCCAGCGCTGAGTGGGGGAGGAGACAGCCGCGCAGAGAGGAGAGATAAGGGGCCCCAACAGAGGAGACAGCTGAGATAGGGAGACAGACAGAAACAGCAAAAAAAGAAAAAAAATAAAAGAAACAGAATGCAGCAGCACATGCAACGGAGACAGCTGAAGACAAACCGAGATGAAAAAAAAAAAGAAAAAAAAAATAAAAAATAAAAAATAAAATAAATAATACAAAAGAGATAAAAAACACAGCAAGCAGAGACAAACTATAAAAGGAGACAAACTGCAGTAGATAAACAAAGACAACCAAAGAGAGACACAACACAAAAAATTCAGAGAGTCATAGAGAAACAAAAGAAGACAGAGGAGACAGTTATATATATATATATATATATATATATATATATATATATATATATATATATATATATAATCATAAAAAGAAGAAAATACAGACAAACAAAAAAAACAAAAAAGAAGAAAAGCAAAATATCATCACCAAGACATGCCTGAGATATCCTTCTGAAAAAAGAAATTAACAACTCCTTTGCTCCCCCCTTGCTGCTGCTGCTGCTGTTGCTGCTGCTGCTGCTGCTGCTGCTGCTGCTGCTGCTGCTGCTGCCGTTGCTGGTGCTGCTGCTGGATGGATGCAGGCAAGCCACGGACTAGAGCCTGCAGAGACAGCACGCAAGTGTCTCCTCAAGGGGGACCTTAAAAGGAGACAGAAACGGAGACAGAGAGACAAGCAGCTGCAATATATATATATATATATACATATATATATATATATATATATATATATATAAAGAGAGAGCAGCAGCAGAGATGAGCGGTACAGTGGGTAGAAGTAAAGAGAGAAAGGAGACAGCAACAAACGGAGACAGTCGCATGATAGAGACAAAAAAGAGAGACAGGAGACAGATGATAAAACAAGAAAAGCAGAGAAGCAGATAGTACACAGAAAGGAGACAAACGGAGACAGATACAAACAAAAAAAACAAACAAGAAAACAACAGAGACAAAGAGGAGAACGAAGCAAAAAACAAAACAGAAAAAAAAAAGAAAAAACAAACAAACAAAAGCAGCAAAGCAACAAAGGAAAGAGAAAGGATACAAGTGAGTGTAAAAAAAAATATAAAAAACATCAAAAAAAGGAGACAGAAGAAACAACAAAAAGGAGACAGCAGAAACAACAAAAAGGAGACAGCAGAAACAAGAAAAAGGAGACAGTTAAACCCCACAAGAAGGAGTTCTGCTTGAGCAGCGCATGCAGCCCCAGCTAAATGTTTATTTGTTATTTTTATATTTTCTATTAATTTATAAAACTCTGCTGATGAGCTCAAACAACGCGAGTGCTTCTGTCCCTGCGGAGACACCCCACAAAGGAGACAGACACCACAACCTCAGCATACACCTGAAGCTCAGCATACACCTCAAGCTCAGCATACACCTGAAGCTCAGCATACACCTGAAGCTCAGCATACACCTGAAGCTCAGCATACACCTCAAGCTCAGCATACACCTGAAGCTGAGCATACACCCCAAGCTCAGCATACACCTGAAGCTCAGCATACACCTGAAGCTCAGCATACACCTCAAGAAAAAGAGAAAGAAGTTCAGGAGACAGTTGGTGCAGCAACAAAGAAACTCAATATACACCCGAAAGGAGACAAAGAGGGATAGAGATGCTCCTAAAAGGAGACAAACAAAGCTGACTATACACCTGAGAGGAGACAGAGCAACTCAGTATACACCTGGGAGGAGACACATCACTCCATTGAAGCAGCAGGGGGCAGAGCAGCAGCAGCAGCAGCAAGAACAGCAGCAGCAGGGAAAGCAGCATCACGAGCCGCAGCACGTGGAGGACAGCAGCAGCAACCGAAGCAGCAGCAGCAGCAGCAGAAGCAGCAGCATGAAGCGCAGCAGCAGCAACAAGAGCAGCAGCAAGTCGAGCATCAGCAGCAGCAGCAGCAGCAGCAGCAGCATCAGCAGCAGCAGCAGCAGCATCTGCTGCTGCAGTAGCAGCAGATGCTGTAGATACCTGCATGCATGCGATGATAGTATCTAGCGAGTGCTGCTGCAGCAGCTGTCTCTCTATCTTATATAAAACAGCAGCAGCAGCACGAGCCAGGGCCTTCCACCCAGCAGCAAAGAAACAATCGAGGAGACACCCCAACAGAGACAAATCCAAAAAAGCTGAGAAACTCGTCAGCAACCACTACAAGGAGACAGCAGCAAAACAAGAGGAGACAGCAGCAACAATAAAAAGGAGACAGCAGGAGACAGCAGCAACAAAAGAGGAGACAGCAGCAACCACTACAAGGAGACAGCAGCACACAGCAGCAAAAGAAGAGACAGCAGCAACAAATAAAAAGGAGACAGCAGCAGACAGCAACAAAAGAGGAGACAGCAGCAACAA